CTTTAGCTTAATGAAGCAGTTTTGGTGTATAGAACATGCCCCTGCAGCCTCACTGCTCAATCCTCTGCCATTTAGTAGTTAAATCCCTTTGTTTATGAACCCTAGTCACACCTCCCTGCATGTGACTTGCACAGCCTTCCATAAACACTTCCTGTAAAGAGAGCCCTATTTAGGCTTTCTTTATTGCAAGTTCTGTTTAATTGAGATTTTCTTATCCCCTGCTATGTTAATAGCTTGCTAGACCCTGCAAGAGCCTCCTGTATGTGATTAAAGTTCAATTTAGAGATTGAGATACAATTATTTAAGGTAAATCACATCTGTTTGAAAGTGAAACCGTTTTTTTTTTTCATGCAGGCTCTGTCAATCATAGCCAGGGGAGGTATGGCTAGGGCTGCATAAACAAAAACAAAGTGATTTAACTCCTAAATGACAGTGAATTGAGCAGTGAAATTGCAGGTGAATGATCTATACACTAAAACTGCTTTATTTAGTTAGTGCTTTTGACACTGTTGCACATAGAAGGCTTATCAATAAACTGCAATCTTTAAGTTTGGATTCAAATATTGTTGAATGGGTAAGGCAGTGGCTGAGTGACAGGCAACAGAGGGTTGTAGTTAATGGAATATATTCGAAGCTTGGACTTGTCACCAGTGGGGTACCTCAGGGATCTGTACTTGGACCCATTCTCTTTAATATTTTTATTAGTGATATTGCAGAAGGTCTTGATGGTAAGGTATGTCTTTTTGCTGATGATACTAAGATATGTAACAGGGTTGATGTTCCAGGAGGGATAAGCCAAATGGCAAATGATTTAGGTAAACTAGAAAAATGGTCAGAATTGTGGCAACTGACATTTAATGTGGATAAGTGCAAGATAATGCATCTTGGACGTAAAAAACCCAAGGGCAGAGTACAGAATATTTGATAGAGTCCTAACCTCAACATCTGAGGAAAGGGATTTAGGGGTGATTATTTCTGATGACTTAAAGGTAGGCAGACAATGTAATAGAGCAGCAGGAAATGCTAGCAGAATGCTTGGTTGTATAGGAGAGGTATTAGCAGTAGAAAGAGGGAAGTGCTCATGCCATTGTACAGACCTCACTTGGAGTATTGTACACAGTACTGGAGACCGTATCTTCAGAAGGATATTGATACCTTAGAGAGGGTTCAGAGAAGGGCTACTAAACTGGTTCATGGATTGCGGGATAAAACTTACCAGGAAAGGTTAAAGGATCTTAACATGTATAGCTTGGAGGAAAGACGAGACAGGGGGGATATGATAGAAACATTTAAATATATAAAGGAATCAACACAGTAAAGGAGGAGACTATATTTAAAAGAAGAAAAACTACCACAACAAGAGGACATAGTCTTAAATTAGAGGGACAAAGGTTTAAAAATAATATCAGGAAGTATTACTTTACTGAGAGGGTAGTGGATGCATGGAATAGCCTTCCAGCTGAAGTGGTAGAGGTTAACACAGTAAAGGAGTTTAAGCATGCGTGGGATAGGCATAAGGCTATCCTAACTATAAGATAAGGCTAGGGACTGATGAAAGTATTTAGAAAATTGGGCAGACTAGATGGGCCGAATGGTTCTTATCTGCCGTCACATTCTATGTTTCTATGTTTCTATGTTTCTATGGTTCGGTAGATTCCGTTCGGTACTTTGGGTGCGAATGTCGATGCCCCCTATCAATTAGGTTGTGGTTAACCGCAAATCGCAGCCGCCTGGGTGGTTAATGGCTGCCACATGCCGCTGGCCGGGTGGTCGACCGTTCGGTAGTTTGCGGGGTGACGGTGTTAAGTGGCGGCACACGCCAGCATCTGGGGGGTCCCCGTTCGTACCACGAATGGAGTCTTTATAATGGTTCGAGTAATCCATTCGTGTTTCTTTCGGCTTAAACTTATACAGTGGCAAACAGTATCCATTGGTTATTAAACAGTAACATAGTTATTTCCAGTCTTTTGTAACACAGTCCACTCCCGGAACCCCCCAAGGAGACGTTCCCATCTGTCCTGATCACTCCCACCATACCGGAGCGGGCCCCATGCCGCCTCATAGGTCGACCCACAGACCAGCTTCATCGGACCGTTGGACCAAGCGACCACCTCCACTGCCCTAACATCGACCCCGCGACACCTCTGCCCGAAGTACGACCAAGACACCACATCGGGAATACCCTGACACAAAACCCGTGACCAACCGCCCCCAGACTCAAACAGCGCCAAGCCAGGTGCCGCCATCAGAGTAACACCGGGGTAAAGGGTACTGTCACATGACAAGACAGCCCGCACCGCCCCACGATGGACCCAAAGGAAAACCCACCCACCTGTTCGAGAGCTGGGCACCCCATGCCCACCATAAAGGGGAAGCTCCAAGAACACCAGAGTCCGCCAGAACCCCGATGCTTGTAATGGGCAAGAGTCAGCATAACATTGAGAGCCCAAAATGGCCCAAAACCCCCCAAAACCTGCTGCCGCAAACAGCTGGAAGTCAGCGGAAAAGACTTAGGGGACAGATTGCACAAGCCACCGTGAAGGGAGGCCCAGAAGGAACCCCATACAGTCCCAAGGGCAACCCCAACAAGCAAAGCCCAGCATACCCAGGAGAGTCCAAAGGCAGCCGGGGAGACCGCAGGGGGTGCTCCAGGAGGAGGTAGGCCACGGGGGTGCCCACACCGGCAGCCATACCTCTATTAATAAAAGACAAACAAAAACCTCAAATGGGTCAGTGTCACCACCTTCCCACTGTTGGTAAGAGTGTAGCGCTAAATAAGTATATATTCACAGTGCTCAAAAATACAGATATACACTTACCACTCAGGGTAATACCAAAAAGATAGACATATAAAAGGAAAAAAAGAGAAAGCATACATTGAGTAATAACGTTGGACCAGTGTATCAGTGAATTCAATTATATATAAGTAAACTCACATTTGTTAGAGCCTTTTATATGGATATAGGCTCTAAACACTCAGATATCCGTGCCTTTAAGGTCGGCAACAAAACCGTATTAACTTCTGCTTCTTTTTTCCTCTTTCCTTCCCTTCTTTCAATTAGGGTAAAGACTCCAAGAGAAAAGAGAAATAGACTTCTGGGTGCAGATTATTTAACTTTTTAACTTATTTAACTTTTTACATAAAGCAATATCTCTTTAAGGTGAGAAGAAAAACTGCTCACCTTTTTCAGAGCCTTTTAAACTGGCTCTAAGTATAAACAGCATATGTGTCTAATATATAGGGTGACACTCCCTTTAGCCAGATTCAGAGATTCAGGATAGAGGTAAGTATATTCAAACACAGGATTTATTGTAAAAAATGAATAAAATTAAAAGTAATTAAAATATCAAATGGTAATAAAAAAAATATGAATAAATACAGTATGTGCCGAAGTCCTTCCTCTCCTGTTCCACCAAGACGCGTTTCGCTGTTCCTCAGCTTTTTCAATCGGTGGTATCTCTGTTGCCGGTCTTTGCTTATATTTCCTGGATGGGAGGGGTTGGATCTCGTCATCCGTGTGGCATCCAATCACGGATGGCGTCGTGCGCAAGTATCTTAGAGTGAAATGCTTTTACCTATAGTGACATCATCACGCACTACGTAACGTGCACGTGACGTCACTTCCGGATTTCAAGCGTCTCTTAGTAAAAGTCCTTCCCACAATCCCGCATTGTTTCTTCCGTTAAAGCCCTCCTTCCGTTGCGATCATATCACATCCACCATATACTCATAATTCCCTCCATCATTGTGGTTAAGGGCAAAGTGCTGGATAAAGGTCTTACGTGCTTATTAGGCTATATTTCATATAAAAACTTTAAATAGTCCTTGAGATCATACTCAAAAGTATGTACAAATACAAACAAATTTGATAGAGCTTCCTTGCAATATGTTTGGTAGGTACTAACTGTGGCGGAACCGCTGCCTGCCTATGAATTGCCCCTTCTGTATTTGTGGATTTCCCATTATCAAATGTGTGTTTCCCCATGTATTTCTACTTTAACTGTGTTTTATGCCTTTCGATCGCACAGGGCATTTAAAAGAGGGGAGTGGGGATAGTGGAGATGGCACTTGTACTTCTATTCTTTTTTTAATTCACTTTCACCAGATGAGTTAGCTGATGCCCAGGTACCCCATGATTGTGCAGCACTAAAGGCACAAGAAACAGCAGGTTTTTCACATGTAACTGATTCTTCATTATCTAATGCAGATTTTGAGTTTTTTGTAGATGGTTCCAGATATGCTGATGCGAAGGGTAATTTCCACACTGGATATGCTGTAGTCTCTGCACATGAGGTAATAAAAGCTGAACCTCTCGCTCCTCATTGCTCTGCACAGGAGGCAGAGCTGAAGGCACTCACTGAAGCGTGTAAAATGGCCTCTGGTAAGACTGCTAATATTTATACAGACTCTCGCTATGCTTTTGGTATAGCCCATGATTTTGGCCCTATATGGCGGGCTCGTGATTTTCTCAATTCAGCAGGAACTCCAATCAAGAACTCTGAAGCCGTGAGTGCACTTATGGATGCTATCCTGCTACCCACTCAAGTAGGCATCATCAAGGTGGCAGCTCACGTGAAGATGTTGCTGAATACATATTGTCAGTATATTTATATCGGCAGACATTTTGTGTTAAGACAGAAATTAAAAGTGTATATTACCATTAACACTTAGAACAGAGCTGACTCAATTTTTTTATTATAAGGCCAAGTCAGACACAGGATTTCTATCTGTAACTCCATTCAAGTGTGAGCTAAGGAATGCGTTATGTAAACAAGACAAGTGATAAGGCAATGATGTCTCACAAGGATGGGGATGGAATACTAACCCAAAGAGACAAATGTATTCATAATTATATATACAGATACACACTATCCACTTATATTTGTTATTATTAATTAAATATAATCAGTATTATGTTTATAATATAGACTATTCATTGATAAATATCTATGAAAAATATCATTTTATTTAACAAATGTTAGTGGAATAGAAAAATAATCGTACACACAACTTCACAAAAGAACCAGACACCAGTGACAGATAACACTTAGTAAATCATTTTATTTCTAAATCTTACAAAGTCCTATTGTAAGAAAAAGGGTGAAATTAAGGTTAGGAGGTGTCAATTCTAAATTACAATTGAAATTGCCGCCATGAAGACTGGGGAAAACCTTTGAAATTGGCAGCAAATTTGCGTTATAGGGACATAAAATAGATAAGAAAATGACGTCAAACTCATCCCCGGTTTCAGTCAACCCATTCCATGACAAGAAATTTTGGTGATGTAATTGCGCCATCTACTGACCGATAACTAGATGATAGTCTGTAGGGTAGACACACCTACAGTTCCCTATTGGTCCTATCAATGAATGACGTGCAGAGAGTTTAGCCCTTTAAAAAGTTAGGACAAAGGGAATAGAGGTATTTTCATACATTCAGCATTGGACATTCAAGGATTCAAACACACAAACACTCAACTCTCAAACTCTCTTTGACACAACTTTCCAACCATCACCACTTTTCTATTACATACAATCCTATACACATCAACTTGCATTCAGCTCCTGGGACTATCTACTGATCTGATAAGAACATCTACGACATAACTGGTAATTATGCTGGTTTTATTTATTTAAATTAAATTAATTAAAATGTTACTAATAGCAGGAATATATATGCCTGGATAAATCTCAGTCAGATTTCAATCATTAGAGATCTTAGTTAGCTAAAGAATATATGGTTATAAAAATTCCACTCCTGCAGGTGGAATAAAGATAACAATATATTAACGGTAATATTTACCAACAGGTTAGCATGCCACATTTATCCAGATATATGACTTGTTCTGATATAAGATAGTGAATCTTATTTAGGAAGGTTAAAGTTCGGCAAATGTAAAATCTGGTAGATTTATTCTTATTGGATGGTTCCAGGAATGGTTAATGATCTGGTATGAACATTGCTTTCATTTAAAAAATTTGCAACAGAATATGAATTTGCCCATGAGGATTGTAGCCAGTAGTGAAAGGATAAATTCAGTGTGATCTAAATGTTAGCCGGAGTTTCATTGCTTCTCACTGCACTGTGTGTTCTGTGTGAAGTTAGTTTCTAAGTGAAGTACCCTATCATAAATCTTGTTAAGATCTTGACTGGTTGCTTTAGCCGCTGAATTGTGTTTAAAGCATTGCCATTTCGTATGCCCAGGGGCGTACCTAGAACATTTGGCACCCGGGGCGGGTCCTATTTTTGGCACCCCCCCTTTTATCCCCCTCTCAACTTTAAATATAAAAACAACTAAAAAATGTTTTAATGTATTTAGCACTAAGCAGTGTTTGTGTTTTTGAATGTATGCATGTTTTTGTAAGGAGTATGTGTGAGTGAATGTAGCGGTGTGTTTGTATGTAGTGTTGGCGTTTGAATGCAAGCATGCATTTGTGTGTTGTGTGGTATTTGAATGCAGTGGTATGGTTATATATAATGGTGGGGTTTGTATGTAGTGTTGACGTTGAAATGCATGAGTGTATTTGTGTGTAGTGTTGGCGAGATTTTTAGATGTCTGCACATATACACATACACGGACATACACACACAAACACAGTCACACACAGATACACATTGACACACATGCAGACATCGTGGCGACTCTAGGAACAATATATATGGGGGGGCACATAAGATACCACAGTCAAAACAGGAGGGGGAGGTGGAGCAGTAAAACTTCTCACTAGGGGATGGGGTAATATGCTGCCATTGGCTGTCTGATGCCAGCATGCTGTGTTCTGCATGCTGGCATCTGACTACACACTTGCATATAATTCACATTAGCCACCCAGATTTCTTGTTGTGGGCTGGCTGACACCTCTTAATTTCAATCTTTGTTTAGCAGATAACTCCTCTATTAGCTATCCTTTGTGGGATTGCCATATTTAAAGACACCAAATAAGGTGCTATCTGCTAAACAGCACCCTCATTTGGTATCTTTAAATATGGAAATCTCACATACGGGCACCAATTCAGGGAATGATCTACTAAACAGCTAAAGGATAAAAAAGCCCTTTTCTTATTTTCAGTTGTTTAGTAGATAAATCCCTTATTTGTTATCTTTATGTGGGATTGCAATATTTGAGGACAGGAAATAAGGGAGCTATCTACTAAACACATACGCAGAGATACACACAATCACACACATAATATACAGGGAGTGCAGAATTATTAGGCAAATGAGTATTTTGACCACATCATCCTCTTTATGCATGTTGTCTTACTCCAAGCTGTATAGGCTCGAAAGCCTACTACCAATTAAGCATATTAGGTGATGTGCATCTCTGTAATGAGAAGGGGTGTGGTCTAATGACATCAACACCCTATATCAGGTGTGCATAATTATTAGGCAACTTCCTTTCCTTTGGCAAAATGGGTCAAAAGAAGGACTTGACAGGCTCAGAAAAGTCAAAAATAGTGAGATATCTTGCAGAGGGATGCAGCACTCTTAAAATTGCAAAGCTTCTGAAGCGTGATCATCGAACAATCAAGCGTTTCATTCAAAATAGTCAACAGGGTCGCAAGAAGCGTGTGGAAAAACCAAGGCGCAAAATAACTGCCCATGACCTGAGAAAAGTCAAGCGTGCAGCTGCCACGATGCCACTTGCCACCAGTTTGGCCATATTTCAGAGCTGCAACATCACTGGAGTGCCCAAAAGCACAAGGTGTGCAATACTCAGAGACATGGCCAAGGTAAGAAAGGCTGAAAGACGACCACCACTGAACAAGACACACAAGCTGAAACGTCAAGACTGGGCCAAGAAATATCTCAAGACTGATTTTTCTAAGGTTTTATGGACTGATGAAATGAGAGTGAGTCTTGATGGGCCAGATGGATGGGCCCGTGGCTGGATTGGTAAAGGGCAGAGAGCTCCAGTCCGACTCAGACGCCAGCAAGGTGGAGGTGGAGTACTGGTTTGGGCTGGTATCATCAAAGATGAGCTTGTGGGGCCTTTTCGGGTTGAGGATGGAGTCAAGCTCAACTCCCAGTCCTACTGCCAGTTCCTGGAAGACACCTTCTTCAAGCAGTGGTACAGGAAGAAGTCTGCATCCTTCAAGAAAAACATGATTTTCATGCAGGACAATGCTCCATCACACGCGTCCAAGTACTCCACAGCGTGGCTGGCAAGAAAGGGTATAAAAGAAGAAAATCTAATGACATGGCCTCCTTGTTCACCTGATCTGAACCCCATTGAGAACCTGTGGTGCATCATCAAATGTGAGATTTACAAGGAGGGAAAACAGTACACCTCTCTGAACAGTGTCTGGGAGGCTGTGGTTGCTGCTGCACGCAATGTTGATGGTGAACAGATCAAAACACTGACAGAATCCATGGATGGCAGGCTTTTGAGTGTCCTTGCAAAGAAAGGTGGCTATATTGGTCACTGATTTGTTTTTGTTTTGTTTTTGAATGTCAGAAATGTATATTTGTGAATGTTGAGATGTTATATTGGTTTCACTGGTAATAATAAATAATTGAAATGGGTATATATTTGTTTTTTGTTAAGTTGCCTAATAATTATGCACAGTAATAGTCACCTGCACACACAGATATCCCCCTAACATAGCTAAAACTAAAAACAAACTAAAAACTACTTCCAAAAATATTCAGCTTTGATATTAATGAGTTTTTTGGGTTCATTGAGAACATGGTTGTTGTTCAATAATAAAATTAATCCTCAAAAATACAACTTGCCTAATAATTCTGCACTCCCTGTATACACAAGCACAATCACTGACCCACACACATACAATCACAGACACACAATCACATACACACACAAACATTACATACATACACACGTTTAATAATTAAGAGGTCCACCCAGCCTCCCTACCTTGCTCTAGAAGGGCTGGAGTGGATCCTCAGTCCCTGGTGGTCAGTGGTTGCTGCTGGGATCTCTGTGCTCTTTCTGCACAGGTCCATCGCACGCCCTGAAATGATGCCGAGGCCGTGATGACATCGTATCCTGGCTGCCGGCTCACTGCAGGGCGAAGACCGTCAGACACAGTCAGATGCACACAGTCCCACACACAGTCCCACACACACAGTTACAGGCAGACAGTCAAATACGCAGGCAATCACACAGGCAGACAGTCACACACACAATCACAGTCACACATACACACAACACAGTCACAGACAGTCACACACACAATCACAGGTAGACAGTCACACACACAGTCACAGACAGTCACACACCCACAATCACAGGCAGACAGTCACACACACACAGTGACACACACACACAGAGTAACACAGACAATCACAAGCAGACAGTCACACACACAGACAGTGACACACACAATCACAGGCAGACAGTCATATGTACACATAACACAATCACAGACAGTCTCACACACACACACACAATCAGTCAGAGAGTCACACACACACAGAGTCACACAGACAATCACAGGCAATCACACAGACAATCACAGGCAGTCACACACACACACAAGCAGACAATCACACACACAGTCACAGATAGTCACAATCACAGTTACACACACACTCTCTCCCTTACAGTCAGCTTGGGCTGGAGGAGGAGGGGATTCAGTCCCTGCTGTGCTGTAGTTGGGGAAGCAGGGACTCCATCCTGCTTCCCCTCTGTGTGCAGCAGTATGAGGCTGCATTTAGCTCCGCCCCCACATCCGGATTGGCTCCGCCCCCACGGCCGATCTGGCTCTGCCCCCAAATCTCCGTGCAGGTCTCCTGCTCCCAGCCCCTGCGTGTGAACTGTGTCGGCTGCCCCGCCCCTGCTGCTATGGCAACCAGTGCAGCCACACAGCTCACTGAACACCAAGCCTGGCCAGTCCTGGTGGCACCCCCTACCTGATGGCACCCAGGGTGGACCGCCCCCCCGCACCCACCTTAGTACGCCACTGCGTATGCCTATGTTATACAAAATATTCACTGATAATCACGCATGTTACATATTATTATTTTTATTATTATTGTCACAATAAATTATATTTTTATAAGGAAACTGTGATTTACTGTGTGAAGTAAAATCCTATGATGACTTTCTTTGGGATCTAAGAGAATTAAAATAGTGGGTAATTCTTAGCTTTATATTGTCATTTTCGGGGAACCGCGCCAAGATATCAATTTTGATATAATAAAAATTATTAAATACATTTTTGATAATTTTTATGAAAATATTATTTTAATATTTATCACCCCATAAATATCCTCACAATATTGGGGTGTTCTTTGGCAGAAACACCTAACAGGAGCTGTGAATCTATGCCCAAAGATGAATGTGTGTGAAAAACAACGCAAAAAAATTACTACCCAAACGTTTGACAGAGACTGGTGGTAGAATTAGTGCATGGAAAGTGTTAAAATGCCACCATGTGAAATGCCCTAGGGTGTATACTTTTCAAAAACATAGAGTTTGACGGGGGTAAATTACATTGGTCAGCATCATTTTCCATCATATTTTACTTTTTTTTTTTTTTGTAAATTATATGATATGATGAAAATAATAGAATCTTTAGAAAGACCATTTAATTGCGAGAGAAACTATATATAATATGTGTGGGTACAGTAAATGAGTAAGAGGAAAATCAGAGCTAAACACAATTACCGCATGTGGTGAAGGTGACTTCGCCACTGGATTTTGAAGGGGCCTGTTTGCCAGCCTCTTGCCCCAGGACTATGGCCCCTGTGATGTATTGCCCTTTAGGGATGTTATTTGGGCATATTGGATTTTATTAATCTGCTTCTGCCCCTTTAAATGCTATGGCAAAGGATTTGTACTTTGTAAATGGCACTTCGGATGCAGCCGAAGTGCTGAAGTAGTCAAAGTGGCCGCCATTTGACAAACGAACACGTGGCTGCGGCCATTTTAATTAAGCCGATGCGGTCAGCGGTGTTTTGCCGTTGAGTTCATGGAACTAAAATCGGATACTCGACGGCACGAACACCGCTGAAGTTTTACCTTCTTTTGGGACATTCACATTTCGAATTGAGTCGAACGGCGTTCAACTATTCGAACACCACATTAACATTGCAGATCTGCACGAACGTCCCCGTTCATGCGAATGTGATGGGTAATTTTAAAATGATAGAAAATGTGTAAAAAGTATATTTTTTGGCCCTTGATAATTAAGTTAATCTATTGTGTTGAGCTAATTGTATCACAGGCAGAGGGGAGGGTTTGTGTGTATTTGCTGGGAGTGTCTGACTGTACTGTTGATTGGCTGTTGCTATTTTATGTCCTGTGTGTCCTGTGTGTATAAAATAAACAATAAAGCCCCAGCTCAGTCTGTTCCTGTTTACACTCCAAAACTGTGTGTTGTCCTGTGTGTTGTCCTGTTATTGGAGGGAAGAGGATTTGCTCCTGTGTCTGCTGTTCCAGCTTGCAGGAGATTCAACGAGGAAAGTCCTTGTAAGGACTAGAGATAATTCCCCATTCAGCTCCAGGAAGGAGCAGTTCCAGGGCCCCAGTCCAGCTACGGTGACTGTGGGCAGAAGTGCTGCCGTTTGTCCCCTGGTTTGTCCTTTGGCGGAGGTAGGGAGCTCCACTACACCACAGAAATGTAAAGAGAGCCATGGTCCTTAACGTTAATAAAATTGAAAAATGGCCTGGTCACTAAGGGATTAATACAAATGCTGGTGGATAAAGGGACTCAAGCCTAGGTAATAGCACTTGGTATTGTGATCAGCTGTGCAAGTTAGTGGAAGTACCCACGGACGATATTAGTCATGTCCTACTAAATTTGTTCACATGTACTGGCTGCCAGGAAGTCTATTTTACGAAACCAGATTCCACCTGAAGCTGCAGCTGTGACTTTGATGATCATCTAACATTTCAATACTTTACAAATGGATTGGATAAAATCAATGTCACAAAAAGATGATAAAACAGATTTCTCCCCCCTAAATCTGGCAATACGACATTAACTCTCTTGCTGCGGACATACATACTTCGAATTATATGTTGACAATAACTTTCACTCCTGTAAATGGATGATTACTAGACTGATGGCCTCGATAAAATGGTTTCCTGGTTTCCCCTACGTGGCTTGGTTTGTGGAATGTGGAATGTCTGACCTCATGTTGGTTCTTCCAATTGTCACCTCTCTAGTTCTCTCTGTGGTGTCTCTCTAGGGGCACTCATGTTCAATCTGATTATTACAAGGATTGGTAAGAAATCTATCCTGCTCTTGTACTCCGTGTCTAGCTCTGACCTATTCTCTAGCTCTGACATTAAGCTGCAGATTTCTGGCCTACAATATCTGTGGCTCCCATGCAGACAGAATGCAGTTATAGTAACAGAAGGAACCTGCCACCTAGTTATGTCTT